ATCCTGACTTGTGAAAAATCAATAAAAAAAGTCAGTTTACAAAGGTGCCTGACTTTTATTTCCAGAATTCCGGCCTCTCTCTTTAGTCACCTTCTTAGGAGAGAAACTTTTCCTTTTTAAAAAGGTAAGTCACCCTGTGTCCATCCATAGCTAAACTTAGTGTAGTTTAAGGAGTGTACTGTTAATTGTTTAAAAGGAAATTATCTAAGAAAACCCAATAAAAGCAAACTTCATAATGGAACATTTGCAGCTGTCTGGTTAGAAAACGTTTCAGCTTTGCATTTTGTACACAAAAACACTATAACACAATGAGGAAATTCCCTTGCATATTGGAAACAATTCTTGTGCAGCATATTCAATAAGAGTTGTGCAAACCCTAGATTAGAAACATTAGGCCACATTCACATGCCTGTTACAAAAAATTTACAAGCTTTTCCCCCCCCATAATTAGGCTCCTTTTACACAGGCAGACGCCACTTGCTCAGTGTGGGATCTGTCCGCACATCCCCCCCCTTCCCTAAGCAGGCGAGTGATGGATCTGTGTCTGCTCCGATTGTGCAGAGCAGACACTGACACAGCCTGCTTTGCTCTATGGGCAGTCAGATGTATATAGACCAGCTGTCGGTTTGCACCTGACTGCCCTCCGATCCTAGTCGGAGAGGAATGGATCCCCTTCCATTTGTTTTTTGGCAGATTTTAGGTACATGGATGTCAATTGACAAGTCCGTTTACACCTGCTTCTATAGAGCAAAATGAAAGGTTTGATCCGGTCTGCCTGAAAAACAGACAGGTGGACCCCATCGGAACTCGGGTGAAAGGGGCCTTACAGACCTGAATGCAGCTGCATTGTTTTCAAATGTGAAACGCACTGCATTCAGATCCATAACACAAAATCCAAAAATCTGTCTGAGGACACAAGTTTACATGTGCCAGATGTAGGTATTGGAAAAGAAAAAAAAAAACAGAATTATTTTATGCAAGTCTTTACTGATCATTACACAGGAACTTTTGTACTAGAAAAAACATGTAAAATCAGTAAAATGTTTACGCCCATGTGATTGTAGCCCTAGACTGATGGATTTCTACATCGGTTCATTTCAACACCCAAGACCAATAAAATCACCTACTGATTTGATCAATAAATATAAAAACATTTCAAAACTGTATTAAACAATTATTTTACATTTTTTTTGACACAATGCGTCTTGAAGAGTCATTAGGAACACATGTAATAAGACTCAAATCAGGAAAGTGCAACCTGCTATCCAAAAAAACTCCAAGTCCCTGCATACACTGAGGCTTTCAATTCTCAACAGTTACACTGCAGTCTGCAGGTTGTCCTTATCACACTTCAACATTTATTTTGTAATAAAAAGATGATTATTCATCCTAAAAACTGCCAGTACAGTAAATTTAAAGCAAACCTTAAAAATAATGACTCAATGACACTATGTGGATGGGGAACCCCTCCAGCTGTGTTCTTGTATTCTGACAGTGGAGAGATTTCCCTGCTGTCAGAATACACTCATCAGCACTGTCGGCTGTAGCTAGGGGTGCTAATCAAGAGAAAACTTTCCAACAAGCTGGTTGTACACAAGTTGAATCGACAGATCGACTTGTGTACAACCAGCCTGCCCAAACATGGATCAAAATTCTGCCGCTCCCTGCTAAATAGCCAACTTTCAATCCATGTATGGCCAGCTTAAGCAAACCATCCATATATTTCTAAAACTCAACTAGACATGGCTGACATGGCAAAAAGGCAGTAAAATAGACTGCACGTGGACACTTTTTTTTTAACAAACAAAAAGTAGATGAAGTTCTGTTTTAAATTGTAATCAGTGCTTTTAGCAGGCTAGCCTGTGGAAATTGGCATAAGAGTGTGTTTGAGAATAATTAGCTACACTTCCTAACCTAAAACAACAGAGGACAACTACAGTAGTTTCCTAGTTATATTGTATAAAGAAACAGTGGGTGCCTCAACAATCAGTAAAACCATCCTTCCCAGAGTTGGCAATTTGGGTTTGGGTGAAAGGTCAGGTTGAATGTCATCTTACTCGACTACAAGACCCACCTGCCTTCTAATGTCCTAGATGTTATGGCCAATTCAACTTCAAATACACCTCTTGGCAGTTCAGTTAGCTGACTTGATTTACGTTTCCTACAGGGACTGCCATAGTAATGGAGATGAACCAAATTAACCTTGTAGTGGAGACATGTGCAGTGTACCTGGACCACGTTAGGAACTGCCATTGGTTAGAGCAGGGTTTCATCCAGAGGTTGCTAGAGCTTCCATAAGCAATTTCTGCCTCTCATACAGGTTTCTGGTGACACCTTTGTTCTTTTTAGCTACCTTTAAAAAAGGTAAGGAAAATCTTCCCAATAACGACAAGTGTTCTTTCCATTGACCATCACACTAATGTATCAGGAGTTGTAGATATAGCAATTTTTAGCAGGACAAGCAAAAAAAAAAAAAAAAAAAAAAAAACTATAGAACTTTAAACATTAGAATTATGTATAGCCTAAACCTTTCAGTTTCGATACAGCAGGGAAAGATTAGGATGCTTGTCGGGTATTTTTGGTTGTCTGTGTCCCATTGGGGAGATTTCACTCAACTTCAGGAAATAAAAGGAAGTCTATCCAAACAGTGAAGGAAACCCCATCATAGACAGCTGTCACAAGAACAGCATTTCTCCGATCAAATATTACCACACTATTTCTGTTCTGGCCACAACTCTCTTTTTTTCCCCCCTATAACTTTTTGTCTCATTGGCAAGTTACAGTCAGGTCCATAAATATTGGGACATCGACACAATTCTAACATTTTTGGCTCTATACACCACCACAATGGATTTGAAATGAAACAAACATGATGTGCTTTAACTGCAGACTGTCAGCTTTAATTTGAGGGTATTTACATCCAAATCAGGTGAACGGTGTAGGAATTACAACAGTTTGCATATGTGCCTCCCACTTGTTAAGGGACCAAAGGTAATGGGACAAATGGCTTCTCAGCTGTTCCATGGCCAGGTGTGTGTTATTCCCTCATTATCCCAATTACAATGAGCAGATAAAAGGTCCAGAGTTAATTTCAAGTGTGCTATTTGCATTTGGAATCTGTTGCTGTCAACTCTCAAGATGAGATCCAAAGAGCTGTCACTATCAGTGAAGCAAGCCATTATTAGGCTGAAAAACAAAACAAACCCATCAGAGAGATAGCAAAAACATTAGGCGTGGCCAAAACAACTGTTTGGAACATTCTTAAAAAGAAGGAACGCACCGGTGAGCTCAGCAACACCAAAAGACCGGAAGACCACGGAAAACAACTGTGGTGGATGACCGAAGAATTCTTTCCCTGGTGAAGAAAACACCCTTCACAACAGTTGGCCAGATCAAGAACACTCTCCAGGAGGTAGGTGTATGTGTGTCAAAGTCAACAATCAAGAGAAGACTTCACCAGAGTGAATACAGAGGGTTCACCACAAGATGTAAACCATTGGTGAACCTCAAAAACGGGAAGGCCATATTAGAGTTCGCCAAACGACATCTAAAAAAGCCTTCACAGTTCTGGAACAACATCCTATGGACAGATGAGACCAAGATCAACTTGTACCAGAGTGATGGGAAGAGAAGAGTATGGAGAAGGAAAGGAACTGCTCATGATCCTAAGCATACCACCTCATCAGTGAAGCATGGTGGTGGTAGTGTCATGGCGTGGGCATGTATGGCTGCCAATGGAACTGCTTCTCTTGTATTTATTGATGATGTGACTGCTGACAAAAGCAGCCAGGATGAATTCTGAAGTGTTTCAGGCAATATTATCTGCTCATATTCAGCCAAATGCTTCAGAATTCATTGGACGCCGCTTCACAGTGCAGATGGACAATGACCCAAAGCATACTGCAAAAGCAACCAAAGAGTTTTTTAAGGGAAAGAAGTGGAATGTTATGCAATGGCCAAGTCAATCACCTGACCTGAATCCGATTGAGCATGCATTTCACTTGCTGAAGACAAAACTGAAGGGAAAATGCCCCAAGAACAAGCAGGAACTGAAGACAGTTGCAGTAGAGGCCTGGCAGAGCATCACCAGGGATGAAACCCAGCATCTGGTGATGTCTATGCGTTCCAGATTTCAAGCTGTAATTGACTGCAAAGGATTTGCAACCAAGTATTAAAAAGTGAAAGTTTGATTTATGATTATTATTCTGTCCCATTACTTTTGGTCCCTTAACAAGTGGGAGGCACATATGCAAACTGTTGTAATTCCTACACCGTTCACCTGATTTGGATGTAAATACCCTCAAATTAAAGCTGACAGTCTGCACTTAAAGCACTTCATGTTCGTTTCACTTCAAATCTATTGTGGTGGTGTATAGAGCAAAAAATGTTAGAATTATGTCGATGTCCCAATATTTATGGACCTGACTGTATATGGACAAACAGAGATCTTGCAACTCCCCAGCAAAGACACAGACAGCACTAAAAACTTGAAAGAGGCCTTCCATAGTCTACCCAAAATTAAAGTAAACTTTTTTGTTTTTTAATCATACTCTAAGCCATGTTCCAACCTGCATAATTACCCAGATCAGATCAACCATATCTATATATAGGCTTCACTATTCCCTTTTGCGGAGCCCCACCTCTTTGGAGTAGGGCTGATTCAGCAGCCAATGACAGGCTGCCCCCCAGGATTGCCAATAACACCTATCTGACACAATTCCACAATATTCCTAGGGACACATATTATACAATTAGTATGTACCACAAACATCAAATCATAAAAACCCCACAATTTTGGCTTAAAGAAAAGCAGTTAAAAAAAACACGTAACAAATGTCCAACTGATGTGCATATTTTGGAAGAGCACTCAAATTTCATTAAAAAAAAAAAAAAAAACTAAACTTCTTAAAAAATTCTGCCTGAGTGCTGCCAAAACCCACAAAATAATTCTCTTCCAAGTTGTGCAAAATAAAAATACAGGTAGTACACTGAAAACTGATCTAAGAATAATCAATCATGGACTCCATCTGATCTTCTGCTCGTCGGTAACGAATGGATGAGAAGAAGAGAGGGTGCCGCCTTTTGTAGAGGTAGATGACAAGCCCAATGATGAGGGCTAGGATGACGAATATTGCAAGTCCAACTGCAACTCCCACTCCAGTAGACTCTGGAAGGACAAGAAATCCACATTTTAAGGAACAATCCCAGTGTAAAGAAAAATAATTGTGACCTATTAGTGGTATTTGACTGAATAACAGAAATAAGATATACCTGTGCTCAAATCCCATTGGTTTGTAGATGCATATAATCCATCAGGTGTTAAAGGGCTGTGACCACATATTAACACTAGAAGTTTTGGATGAACCCTCTGCACAATGCTATGCCCATCCTTTCTAGGAAATTTTTTTTTTTACTTTTTATTGCAAAAAAAGGATTTTTAGTTCACATATATTGCAATACATGTTTAAGCTGGCCAACTGCATCAAAGTAATCAGTCTATGGCTAGTCCCTAACCTGCTCTGAAAAATGCAAACGCTGTAATGGCCACAATGCCAACATGGGGCAAACAGACACATACTGGCACTATATCCACTGAAGTATGCTATTAGCAAGCATGTTGAATTTTGCAGAGTAGAGTAGGGAATGGCCAGAGAGGGATTTCTTTGAAGTAGTTGGCCAGCTTAACCATGTATTGCAATGTGTGTGAACTAAAAATCATTGCTTTAATGCAAAGTTTGATTAAAAGGGTGCATAGAATTGTGTAGAGGATTCACCCAGAATTTCCAGTGTCAACATGTGGTCACACCCCATTAGCACCTGATGGAATGTACAAGTTTTTGGGATCTGAGCATAGGTATTCCTTATTTCTGTTGCATTGCATGTCAGTGGCCAGACGTGAACTTAGTGTCTCTCCTCCAATTTTGTGTCTGTTGCCACATGTTAGCATTGTGTCCGCTGTAGCAATTGCAGAGTAGGTTAGAGACTGGCCATGGAGCGATTACTTTGATACAATCGGCCAGCTTAGGCTCCATGCACATTGGGCGTTTTAATAACGCTGGTAACGTTAGCTGTGTAAAGTCATGTTAAAAACATGGGCCAAAAAAAAACGTACAAAAATGCTGGTTTGCCATGATTTACTGAGTTTTTCAGCGTTAGAGAGTTTTTACAGCTAAAAAATTCCTCTAGAAACCCACTAGTTCTGAGGGTTTTTTTCCAGCCAGAAAACGCCCCTGCCAGAAAACATTGATTACAGTCTATGTGTGCATGGACACATAGAATAACATGCTGGGGAGTTTACTGGCTGTAGAAAAAACGTCCAAAGCCAAAAACAGCCGCTGTAAAAATGTCCAGTGTGCATGAGGACTTATACATGTATTGCAATGTATAAACTAAAAAGGTTCATCCAGAATTTCTCTTACTGAATAAGGCCCTACATCAGGGGTACTGAAATAAAATCAGCAAGGTCCGGGCAGTAGAATTTGCATGCATTAGAGGTCCATAGGTCATGTAGGCCCCTGTGGTGCATTTTCGTGTGCGCCAAACCACATGTTGCTGTGGTGCGATTTTGAAAAAAAAAAAAAAGGGTAGGGGACTTCTTCAGGTTTCTAGCAGGTAGTGCTGACCTACCCACAAAGTGTGCACCAAATGCACATGTACATATCTGAACCTGTTCTTACATCAGTGTCTTCAATCCCCACTGCACATCACAGTCCCCTCCTCATTCACAGCAAGATCCCCTTTTGATGAGTGTCCTTAGTTCCCCTTTTACATCACCCCCTCCACCCCTTTCACAGTAGTGTTCTCAAACTTCCTTGACATCAACACCCCCCCCCCCCCAACCCCCCCCCAACAGTACTGTCCTCTCCCCCTTCACTGTAGTGTACTCTGCCCCTTTTTACATCATCCCCCCACATTACTGCCCCCAGGTCCCCCCATATTGCTGTCCTCAGCCCCCACACGTTGCTGTCCTCAGCCCCCACACATTGCTCTCCTCAGCCCCTCCCACTTTAATGTCCTCAGCCCCCCACACACCACAGTCCTTAGCCCCCCCACATTACTGTCCTCAGCCCCCCACACACTAATGTCCTTAGCCCCCCCACACACAATTGTCCTTAGCCCCTTTAACTTCACCCCCCCCCCCACTGTCCTACCTTACACAGACAGTGATTGATTGCTAGCACTGCCCTTCATCTTAGCAACCAATCACCTGCTTGTTAACCTCGGGCAGCTCCCACCCTCCATCCAGGACTGTCCTGCCTCCTGCTGTCAGCTCTGTGAGGATGATCGTGAGACAGCTGGGGGAAGAAAACGCTCCTAAATGGCAGGACTGCATGGGTCCATGTGGGACAGTGACTTGGTCTGCATTTAGTGATGCCTGCTCTACATGACACAAAAGAACTTACTTAGAGGTGATTTGCAGACGACTCTTCCCATGCCAGGTGTACAGGGAATTCTATTCCATGTGCCAGTCTCTGGGAATAAAACAACGCAGGAGCCGACGGTGTTTGTTGGAACATTAGTCCAGTGGTTATATTTTATGGGTGATCCATCAAGCCATAATTTCTGATCTGTACAGATAGAAGAATCAAATATCAACAATTCTACTAGGATAACAGCATAAAAAACGGAAATGGAGCAGAGTAACTAACATTTCCCTGCAAGCCATGCAGCAGGGGCTGGGCGCATGACTAGGTGGGCTCAAATGAAGAGATTGTATTGAAATTCAAGATTATTTGTTTACACTTTATAGTATAACAAAAGGTAAAGTTTTTATTTTAGTTTTAAATGAAGTGAAAAGGGATTAGAACACCCAGTCAGGTTTTTATTGTTGTCTATGTCCCCATTAGGCAGATTCACCCTCTCTATTTGTCCTGTTCACCATTATCATTGAAGGTGAATGTTAAAGAAAATACCTAATGTTTGGTTGTCCCCAAAAGAGGAATACTGGGGAATCTTCCAGTGGGGACACTATTTCAGGATTTCCTCACTTTAGAGGGATTTTCTCTCACTTCCTGTTTTGGCTATGGGACAGGAAGTGAAGGGAAATCTCAATAAGACACAGATGGCAAAAATAATGCTTACAGGGGTTATAACCCCCCATAGAACTAAAGGCAAAACATTTTTTTTTTGCATTTTGGATACTTCAAGTTCATAAGCTGATAAATTACATAATTATTTACCTCAATCCCTCTTCCAGTCTGACTGGACAGGGAAAAAGGAGAAACAGCACACATATGAGCTCATCTGTCACTCTGCTCACTCCTTCTAGCAGTATCTCCCTAGTAAGCACATAATCATTGCAACACAGCTGACTGTCTCCTTGTGCTGCTTCTTCCTCCTTGTCTGAGCTCTGCAACAGGCTGAGTCCGAGTCATTTTCAGGCACTGTTTGCATTACAAAAAATATACATTTAAATGATGTAATAATGAATACAGAGCTGCATTCATTGGTGTCTTAATGCCTGAATTTCAGTTTTAGGAAAGGTAGCCTTCAAAAAGCCACCGGGTATTTTAGTTTAGAATTCTCTCACTATTAGAACATAAGGTCTGGGAAAACTGACCCCTTAAGCATTTTCTTTCTTTAGCATACCTGAGAAATGAAGTCACTTGCAAATGTAAGTACATCGTTGTCTAGCCATCTACTTACCAGCTGAGTTTGGATCTACTCCGAGCCAAATTCTTCGAGTGATAAACACATCAGCCGTCAAATATTTACTAACAAATTCATTCTCTTCCTCATCATTTATAGTCAGCAGCTTGGCTGAGGGATCTAGAAGACATACATTGGAATATTAAAGATGTACTTGTCTAAGTTGGGGTTGTGACTATTCTGGGTACATTGCACAGCACTGACCAACTATGGCTGTGCATATGTATTTACTCAATTTGTTTTCAGAGAACATTAAAAGTTATGAATTGTATCTCCCCTGTATAGTAACATGCATGGTGCCTACTCATATCCAACCCTCTTTTGCAACCTTCTAGAAAATATGGGCCTTAGAGTGCTGACCCTTTTTGCTTATTAAAGGGCTGTTTGTCAGGCCTGAGCACAATCCTATGAAGATGAGGGGATTGTGCACAACTGGTTGCACTGCAAGGTCCATATTCTACACTGAATCTTGGTTGGGCTAGCAGTATGGGTAAACTTCGGTTCACTCTAAGAGATACTGACAGTTTAGGAACACCAAAATGTACTATCAGGCATGAGGTGCATGCAACCGCATAACGACAGACGTTTTCTTTTCAGCTTTGCTAAAAGGGTGGGCTACACTATGCTGTGATAGAGCTTGCCTGGTACTTCCAACTCCTCTACATTCCTACTAGCCCATTACTACAATTGATAGCCTCAAAGGCCAATAATAATGCATAGGAGGGAAACAGGAGCAGGCAAGCATCAGGAGAAAGACTGTTTAATGAACAAGCAACAACATACTCTGCGATTTTAAAACCCGATTACAGCCACATACCTAAAGTTTGGCACATCTTCCTGGCTTGTTCGCTAGTGTACACCGAGTAGTTGTAGATCTTCACATCAAATGCATAGCAAAAATCCTTTTGACGAACCCATTGTGCGGAGTTGTCTGTTTTGGGGCACAGTGGATCAGTCTCTATAGACTTTGATTGCACTGCAATAGATCAAAGAGAGGTCCATAGCAGCAATAAATAAGACGCTCTGAAGTATTTATATAAAGCATAAACCTTACAGTTCCATAACTAATAAAGACCTATAACTTACTTGCCAATGGTTTATAACAAAGAGCACCATCCAGGGGTTCTGTGCAGCTCTTTGAGCGCCAGTTTCCCTTTGTGTCAAAATAGGCGCAGTTTCCACGAGGCAGCAGTGTGTCCAGATTCACAAATTCATAGCTGACCAAAGTACCATCTGACCATTCTGTTCCTGAGACCGTCCCCTGTTGGCCAAATCAAGCATAATGTTGCAACAGTCCAAGAAAGGAAAAGGAAAACCATTACTCCCCTAACCTTAATCTGCAGCCATAAAACTAACCAATCTTTACAGAATGTATGGTGTGTGTACACACTGCAAAATTTCAGATCACCACATGTTATTTATCAGTGATCTCTGTTTCCATGAACATACCATATGCAAAGCCTGGTCTAATGGAGCTCAAAGAATATCAGAACACAGGTTGACCAGCACCTACAGGTGAAACTCGAAAAATTAGAATATCGTGCAAAAGTTCATTTATTTCAGTAATACAACTTAAAAGGTGAAAAACTAATATATGCGATAGACTCATTACATGCAAATCAAGATAGTTCAAGCCGTGATTTGTCATAATTGTGATGATTATGGCTTACAGCTCATGAAAACCCCAAATCCATAATCTCAGAAAATTAGAATATTACATGCAATCAATAAAACAAGGATTGTACATAGAACAATATCAGACCTCTGAAAAGTAGAAGCATGTATATGTGCTCAGTACTTGGTTTGGGCCCCTTTTGCAGCAATTACTGCCTCAATGTGGCGTGGCATGGAAGCCATCAGCCTGTGGCACTGCTAAGGTGTTATGGAAGACCAGGATGCTTCAATAGTGGCCTTCAGCTCTTCTGCATTGTTCGGTCTCATGTCTCTCATCTTTCTCTTGGCAATGCCCCATAGATTCTCTATGGGGTTCAGGTCAGGCGCGTTTGCGGGCCAATCAAGCACAGTAATCCCACGGTCATTGAACCAGGTTTGGTGCTTTTGGCAGTGTGGGCAGGTGCCATGTCCTGCTGGAAAATGAAGTCAGCATCCCCATAAAGCTCATCTGGAAGGAAGCATGAAGTGCTCCAAAATCTCCTGGTAGACGGCTGCGTTGACCCTGGACTTAATGAAGCACAATGGACCAACACCAGCAGATGACATGGCTCCCCAAATCAACACAGACTGTGGAAACTTCACACTGGACTTCAAGCATCTTGCAGTGTGTGCCTCTCCATTCTTCTTCCATACTCTGGGTCCTTGGTTTCCAAATGAGATGCAAAAGTTGCTCTCATCAGAAAAGAGGACTTTGGACCACTGAGCAACACACCAGGTCTGATTTTCTTTAGCCCAGGTAAGACACTTCTGACGTTGTTTGTTGTTCAGGAGCGGCTTGACAAGAGGAATACAACTTTTCGTAGCCCACGTCCAGGATCCATCTGTGTGTGGTGGCTCTTGATGCACTGACTCCAGCCTCAGTCCACTCCTTGTGAAAGTCCTCAACACTTTTGAATGGACTTTCCTGACAATCCTATCCAGGCTGCGGTCATTCCTGCTGCTTGTTAACCTTTTTCTTCCACACTTTCCCTTCCACATAACTCTCTATTAATGTGCTTTGATACAGCACTTTGTGAACATCCAACTTCTTTTTCAATTATCTTTTGAGGCTTTCCCTCCTTATGGAGGGTGTCAATGATGGTTTTCTGCACAACTGTCAGGTCAGCAGTCTTTCCGAAGATTGTGATTCCTACTGAACCAGACTGAGAGACCATTTAAAGGTTCAGGAACCCTTTGCAGGTGTTATGGCTTAATTAGCTGATAAGAGTGGGACACTTTGAGCCGAGAATATTGCACCTTTTCACAATATTCAAATTTTCTGAGATTGTGGATTTGGGGTTTTCATGAGCTGTAAGCCATAATCATCACAATTATGACAAATCACAGCTTGAACTATCTTGCTTTGCATGTAATGAGTCTATCTCATATATTAGTTTCACCTTTTAAGTTGCATTACTGAAGTAAATTAACTTTTGCACGATATTCTAATTTTTCGAGTTTCACCTGTAGATTCATATACATGGTTTATTGGGAAAAGACATGGTCACGTCAGTTAAAGCCTAGGTTATAAAAAAAACAAACAAAAAAAACCCCATAAAATAAATGCACATATTTTTGCAGGAAAAAATTGTGCGTTTATTGTTGTGTTTTTTTTACAGTTAGCCTGTAAAGCATTACAATGCCAGCTTCCTGCCGACTCCAGCTTGTACCTGACTTTCAGACGGAAGAAGGATCAATGGACTACAAGAGCAGTGGGATGGGGGGGTGGAGAGAGGTAACATGTTGAAAAAGTGAAGATGGTGTTTAAAACACAAACTTTCCATAGAGATATGGAGGCTTTTAGTACTGACCTATATTTCAGAAAAATTGCAGTGTTTTGACTTCACTGGCTGCTTATATGCTGCCAGTCAGTAACTTAAAAATGTCAGAACAGTGTGACAGTCAGGAAGCGGGCATTTCCACAAGGTGGTGAGCAGCCATATTTCTTTCCGCACAGGTTTAAATCAGAGAGTTTGGCTGGCCAATGACCTTGTTGGGTGTGGTGGTAAATATTTTTTGTTACTCTACCACAGGAACTAGAGAACATATGCAATATGAATCAAGGTTCGCCTATTTATTCAGGTCTCCTTCAAATGTCAAAACACTGTAGTATAGTAAAAATGTGCTCACCTAACCCCCCTGGCTTCCACACTCAAGGAGGCGGCAAGCCAAGTACCCCAAAACTTGTGAGAAGATGCTTCTGCATTATGCTGGGATCTAGCCAGAGGGATAAGGATGAAATCCTTGCTTAGGCACCGCAGGCAGAAGCCAGGGATAACGCAATTACTTTTACATTGTCCACGTTTATTTATTTATATTTTACTTTTACTTCAGCATTTTTGCATGGGGGAGCTGAAAAAGAGGAATTTTGACTTTCCTGCACATTTAAGGAATTGATTCTTAAACCATGGGTTACATGATGCTACCTTCATGTGACTGGATACTGGCAAACTTTTTACTGGGACTGCACCACAATTTATCCATATAATCCAGCCCACTCCGTGAGGTTCCGGTTCTGTTAGCAAACAGTAAAGAGATCACAAAGGAAAGAGGGGAAAGAAGGGTCAACGGCTCCAAACAGACAGCTGACCACACAAGCACCTTGTGGCTAAAGCACGCATCAGGCAAGGCCCAAACAGCCACTCAGGAAAAAAATGACGCTGATGTATGCCATACATCGGCAGGAACAGCGGGTTTTACACACATACACGCCTGGCTGCTACTAAAAACCTGGAAGCTATGTGTAAAATGTTACTTCTGGGTCCTGCTCTCACTGTTTCTGGTCACGGTGGCCAGGGGAGAGGCTAATTGAACACTATCTGCTCTACATTAACCTCAGCAGAGGCCCCGTGAAACATTGAGCGTCTAAAAATCCCCCGATGTCTCATTAGCAATAACCTGTCACATTTCATGCATTATGGGCAACTATGCATGAAATGTTGATTGAGCTACATGTTACATATCAGCATGCCAGAGTGAGAAAAAATAATTCTAGGCCGTTATTTACAAATATGTCTGAAATGTTGTACTTTTGTGCTAATACCGTGTGACAAAAAAAAAAATTAGAACTAGCCCACTATCACTTTGTCAGTGATGGGTGAGAATGCATGGTGCCTGCTGATATGGGGGAGCATGTGACTCTGTTGGAGTCTAGCAGCCAATCGCTAAGCCTTAGTGTTGTCACAAGACTAAAGGAATGACATCCCTGTTTCCCTGTATCCAACCTCAGGCAATGCAAGGTATTTTAGTTCCAGCTGCAGGGGGTTGAAAGAATTGGGTGCAGGGACGCTCTGGATGCCTTTGCTGCCATTGTGCACTTGCTGGGTCTCTCTGTGCCCTTAAGGAGGGGTGGGCTCCCTCCAGGCATACCTGCCCTTAATCTATCCATTCTTATATGTGCTCATAATATGCAGGCTCTGAAAATTTAGAGTTGGGACTGCAGTATATACAGAGGTACCATGACGTGGGCACTGCAGCTTACGCATATATGTGAAAACAAAACCCTCTGTATTTAATGCCACTTTGGTTGTTTTGCAGGCTGGTTGGCAAGTGAGCTGGAAAACCTTTGTTTCTGATACAGTTCATGGCTATAGTTTAATTTCTAACCCACAGTGGCAAGTGTCTAAGCTGTTCTTTACCAGGTCTATAAGTTTTGCCCTGACTCATTGTGAAAATTAATGATGGTCTTGTTCTCCATATGTTGATGTCAGACTCAGACCTGATACGGTTCATGGCTGCAGTTTAACTTATAACCCACAGTGCCAAATGTCTATGATTTTCAGGCAGAAGCTTTACCAGATGAAGCTTTACCAGTTTAAAACTTTTGCCATTACTTATGTACATAACAGTCCTGTTTTGTTCAGATTCTTCATATGTTGATGTCGGTGTGCCAGACGACTGGTTGTCCAGAGGTCAGCCACTAGAGACAAACTGCCAGTCAGCGGCTGCAGCAGAATGCCTAAGAGGCTGCCTAGCAGCAGTCTGTGTTCCTGTCCGGTCCTTGAATGCCCGGAGCTGTCGCATCCTTCGCCCCACTCTCTGCACGCCACTATCCTGCTGTGATGGAGACATGAGCATCAAGAGAGCACTGTCAAGTATCAGTGTGTTGGGGGACTTTACACAGAGACAGTGTCTCTTTGTCTCTGTTAGGAGAGCTTGTCTGTACAGAGCCCAATAAGCTGTCAGTGTCTATTTTTGAAAGTCTAAGCTCTAGTGACATCATCAAAATAAAAAAAATAAATTATCCTTGCCTATTTGGCAAGTCACTGACCAGGAACAAGCATGCAGCAAGTGAAATCAGCTCCCAGGTCAGCAAAATGAAATACTGACAAAGAGAATGGGAAAGACAGCCTTGGCAATTTGCATTTTTTGAATCAAGTAAGAAATAGCAACATGCATATATGCCTATCCTTTCAGGTTTCCAGTCACTGCATATAAATGTAATTGCCTGCACAAAATCTAATTGTCTGAATATGATAGTGATACAGAGATCAGGTTTATGTATGATAAACAGCAATTCCCCAAAAGCCTAATTGTCAGTGCTGGATAGAACCAATCAGCACACACTTACATCATTATTCCATAACCCAATCCAGAGGGAGAATCCATCCTGTCTTACAATGTTCTCCAGAAAGAGCTGTTGCTGGTTATCATGAACACTGACCAGATTGCCACCATTCTGTTTGCACTCCCTCACCGCCTCAAACCACGTCAGCTTCTTCTTCAAAACGTAGTATGTGGAATTGTCAAATGGTATAGCAGTTGGCAATGGCTCAATGTATTCTGTCCTTGAACCTGCATAAACAGATGAAATGCAGAACATATAAATAAAGTTATGAGGCCAAGTATACATCAGCTGAAGCAAGCCTGCCAGCAAATGTAAAAATTAAAATATTAGCATTTTGGTTCCTTTTGGTAAATTTGTTGGACTACATCACAGGGCACAGAAGACTTCATATTCATGACTACATGGGGTTATGCTGCTGCCTTCAGGTAGACACTTGCCAAAAAAAAATAAAAAAAAGGAGGCAGGAATCCCTTTCCAGGCGTAACCCCTCACAGCTCAGCAGCAAGCAATGAGGAATAGACAAGAGGGGAGGGATCTGTGTCCTGTGATGTCATCCAAGAAACAATTGGTAAACCAACAACTAATTTCTTAATCGTACTTCACAGGACAAAGAAGATTTCATATTTATGACTACCTGGGATGTCCTAAAGCACTGAATACAAGGATTGGGCAAAACAGCAACAAGGCCAAACATTCCAAACTCTCCAAAAAAAAAAGAATAAGGGGGACTCCTTTACAAAGATGCCTTTTTTTTCCCTATTGGTTGAACTAGGTGGGTGTCTTTTTTTAACTTGACTAGCTGCGTAACTATACTCGCAGAGGTTTGAAATCTATCTTACTTGGCCAAAATGTGCAGAAAGCATTTACAACCTTGAACAGAGGAACCTGGCTCCTGATGAATCCACCTAGAAATAGTGACCCTTAAGAATCCTCAGGCAGATCAAACAGGGAATCCTGTCTTAACAAAGCTGTAGACCTCAGATAAACAAGCTCAAATGACATTCAAGAAAGCATTGCAAACAATGTCCTGATTCAGGTGAAAGGAAGAAGAAACCATCTCCTGTAAGAAAGCTCCTTCCCATGTAAACATTTGATGCCATTGCCTTAAAGAAGCAATATGCAAAAATACTTGTAATTAAAATCACTAGAAAGCTCCATGGTCTAAATGTGACGTGTTAATTCCATCCCAGGACAGTGAAGGCTAAGGAGAACCTGGCTCCTGATGAAAATCTCCATTTTACAAGTCATAACAAATATTTTTTATTAATCCATCCATGCATAGACAGATCCACCTGTTCCCTCTACGATAAAGCTGGAGGGACAGGTGGATCCATCTGTGCACAAAACAAATGGATGACAAACATTCCTGTTATGACATTTTTTAAATAAAATTTTTTAAATATTTTAACTTGCAAAACCTTAAAAATAATTCCTACACCACTTCCATATGTATCTGATCACTGGATAGGAAAACAGATCACTTAACTGGAAACAGAATATCACGCAGTCAGACTTACCCATTTCAATCTTGCAGGCCACAATGGAGTGCTGTTGATAGAAGACCATTTCATAGTCCTTTGGGTTGTGGAAAATATCCCAGAAGCCATCAAGCCTTATCCCTGCATAAAAGCTGTTGCTTGTTATGTTTGGCCGCCCAGCCCTCCAGTTTGAATATTTCACAAAGGTCTCATCATGCCAGCGAAGATGGCTTTCTAGTGAAGAAAAATGATGCCGCATTCAGAGTAAATAAAAATTTACATCAGAGAAATTACACGACAAACTACATGAAATTAGAATGACTTAAAAGTCCTGCCTCAGCTGCCACAGTGCAACAATGTAGAATTTTATGCTGTGCTACAGTTTTTTTTTTTCTATTTCACCTGCATGCCAAATGGTAGAAACAGCTATGTTTAGAAGGCATGCAGTTTTGTCCAATAGTTCTCACGACTGATCAGTACAAAGGGGATGAAAGGAGTCCAATTTTAAAGATGGAGTTTGTCATATAAGTTAGGAATCACAGTTACCCTGAACATTTCTTCATCATCATTTGATTTGGCTGAGGTACTGGGGGATTTTTCAGGTTAGAGAAAGAAGATAATTTTAAAAGTGGTGGCTAGGGACAGAAGACATTGAGACCGGCTCTTTCAAATTATTAAAGTGTACGTTAATTTTAAAAAAGTTTTTAAAAGCACAACTAAAGGCTGCTGCATAAAAGTGTAAGTACCATATCCAGGTAACATGATGCACAAGCCACATAGGGAAGGTAAATTAATTTTTTTGTATAATCTGAGTCAAATCCTCCTTCATTTGTGTCTCAGCTGCTCCCCTCGTGGACAGAGCAACTCACAGTGGAAGGGTCTAGGTGTGATCAATTGCTGACTGACAGGCTACAAGCCTGTGGATCAGCAGTGACAATTACTGATAGACACGTCCCCTGCATCCCATTGTAGTGCATACAGGCACAACTTACATGATCACCTCTGTTTATAAATTCAGAGCAGTGCAGCACCATTGATTTTAAATATATACAGAGTATGCACACCACATATCAAGAATGCTTTTACAATGCAATCATATTCAGCATAAAAGCACTAATTAGTACAAATATCCAATCATGTCATATCACATCAAGCATAATACAGCAAATATATTTGCTACACTGTTCAACATCCAAAATGAATATAACAGCTGATGTTCATAAAAATATTGCACATACAGAAGTCAGCACCCAGAAAAAAATGATGAGAAAGAGCAGAGCCAAACCCTAGGGAAAAGGCAGAGGAGGAGAAAGAATCCAAATTTCAGGGGTGAAGGTCCTTTGCTCAAGAACCTTCCGCTTGGCCTGCAGTGCAGCATGGTTGCCACTCAATCACAGGAAGATGTCTTAGGTGGCCTTCACTGGAAGGATCTACAAGTACTTGTGGGACTTTGAGGGGGCTATGAAAACTGCAGATATACTCTTATAACCAAAGTAGAGACATGCCCCCAGTTTAAAAAACCCCCCACAAATAAAACACAAGAAGCAAATGAAAAAAACCCCCCCCCCCTTCCCACTTCCCCCCTTCCACTTCCAAAGTTTCACTAGTTTCCAAGTTTTCACAAATACCTGTTGATCCTTTCAGTGAGGTCCACCTCAAGCAGCTTCCTGTAAATGTACTGTATGTAGTATAGGCACATTCCCCAAAGATCACTTGGCCCATGCTTTAGCATTTAATGACATGACCAACCCTGTAAAGGGCAGTCTTTGTGGAAGCTAAAACTAGGAAACCTATAGGTCAGCTTATGACAGTGATGATATAGTCATAGCAAAGCCCAACCATTTGTGACAACCTACATGCAACTAGCTTGCAATACACAAATACATATACAAAGCATCTTACCATATACATCATAACGCATTCCCAGCCACACCCATTTGGCTAGGTCCATGTAGGGCTGCAGCTCATTAACTATAAACCGATTTTCTTCCTCATTTCGAATAACCAGGGCGTAAGCATCAGGATCTGCAAGACAAAGTCTTTTTTAATCTCCAAAAAAGCCAAAATGACTAATAAATTATTCTAAGCATTCCACTGCTATTCTCAATCATTTAGAATTGCATGCCTAAGAAAACATATACACCTTTTATCACAGATGCAAGTTTTAAATTATTTGGGTATTTTCCACTTTTTTTTTATCAATGGATGCATGCAAGTGTAAAGTAAATGAGAACTCTAGACTAAGTGCTGCTGTATAAGGTATCGCAAGATGATTATATTAGGATTCAGATACAAATGCAAACTACATTTAAAGCCCATCTTCAAACAAATAAATGAATGTATATAAACAATATGTCCCATTATTGGTGCTTTTACTGTTGATAGCAGTGCACAATGTGGAACTGCCGTGTCATGGATGCTCAACTTCCATATATATTTGCAAAAGATGATCTGGATATAGACAGGTCCTCTTTGCTGAGTGATAGGGCAGGTGTTGGGAATATTTTTCTTCCTTGTTTGGACATCATTTTTTATATACTACCTAAACAAGGAATAAATCTATTCCAACCAACTTGCTCCATCAGTCATCCCCCAATGTGCTGTTTTCTGACAGCAGGGACCCCCTCCTCCATCAGAATACATTGATCAGTGCTGCAGCCACTGGCTGCAGAAGCTGATCAAATGCTGGTTTTCCAGCAGGACTTTTTGTCAGCAGTCAGTCTTACAACTTCTGTTGAACAGACAGGGCCACACACGTATCAAAATTCGATATGTGTATACACAGCTTAAGTGTTCAGTGTCTTCTATTGTTGTTTTTTATTTAGACTTTGCAAGGGAAGTGGAAGAGTCACTTTAACCCCTTCACGCCGGCCGCACGCAAATGTGCGGCCTCCCTGCGTCTGGGCCTAGACAACGAGTGGCCGCACATTTGCGTTCATGTAACAAAAAACATATGTACTGAGAGTGTGTGCGCCCTGCGCGCTCCCAGCACACGTGTGGTACTCATGGAAAGGTCCCAGTCCGCTCTTTCGATCGGGACCTTTCCTGATCATGTGACCGGCCAGGACGTGACGTCATGGTGGCCACATGACACTAAGCCCCGCCCACCTCCCGGCGCAGGAACTTCTCTTCACGCCGGGACGACCCGGCGTGAAGGGGCTAAATATACACTTCAATCACATTTAAAGATCCAATGCCCTGAAAAGCATACAAGAGAAAAACTACCATCCTAGTGCATTTTGCAGAAAGGACTATTGGAGGTATAGTACATGTAATGTAATAAATATACTTACCTCCTTGCTGTCCTTTTGGTGCTAAAACTCTCTAAAAACTGATGCAAGCAACACAGTACCATCAGCTGTCTATTCGGTCCCTGCACATTATTCAACTCGAATCAGTCAATCCTACTTCTATAACTGCAACTAATTTCATTCATATAATGGACAGGGAATGAATGTAGTCAGCTGACTGTACCACTACACTTGCATCTGGGTTTTCAGGGAGCTGTATCATGGAAAGCACAAGATAGAGAAAAGTGTAAATATTATATTACATGAACCTCTCAAACTTTCTGAAGTTCTCTTTAAAATGAATAATAATACAATTATTATAAATAATCATAATAATCATAATAATAATAAAAAAAAACAAAGAAAAAGCCTGGTTATAACATACCAAGAGAATGGCAGATGTATTTGTGTTCATTTGAGAACCATCTTTTGTGGTTCAATAGGAAAGCATAGCAGTTGTTTCGGTATGGGATCCACACTACATCTTGAACTTTGTGAGGACAAGCAATGGTGTTGTCTTGCATTTTCTTTTCAGTCACATCTACAAATGGCATACAGGACAATTAGCTACTTAGACTGTATAACATGTTATCCGATTTAAAATACATACAACAAGGGTGCAGAGAACAGACTGTACTATAAAGATGTAAACCCAACACTTCATATTTCTGGTATGTGTCTGCTGTACCATGTACTTGTATGAAAAAGTATCTTGGTCTTTGTATTGCTTCCTTTGTGTGAAATCCCTGGTGTTGCTGCCAGTCCCTCTGCTTTCCTATCAAAAACTGACCACACTAGGCATGACAGCACAGCGTGGTCAGTTCTAGCTGTGCCGAGAACTCAGCCTGCTCGCCTCCAATGATCAGACTTGTCCTGACATGCCTTCCCCCACATAGCCATTCACTGGGAAGACCAGTGTACTGCTGTTTCTCCTCCCCCATCTCTGTGAGCTCCTTATGCAGCTGAAACAGATGGCATTTGACCACTTATTAAAAAAAAAAAAAAAAAAGGGGGGGGGGTATTTATAATGTTTTGTATATCTATATACAATGTTTTACCTTTCATTTCTATTTTAAACTATGGGTTATTTTACAAGGCGAGGGTTCACATATACTTTAAAGTGGTATTAAACCCAAAAACAAAACCATGTTCTATTAGAGCTTACCAATTTGTAGATGTGGCAGCTGCACTACTTTCTTTTTAGGGCTGATTTTTTTTCTCACAGGATGAACAGCTCTAGAAAACATTGTTTTCCAATATATGACTGTATTTTAGTGACGGTTGTGGGGACAAACTAATAAACACTGCCAAGTATACCATCATTGATTATCTTTATTTACAGTGGAAAAAGTTCTGTTTTCAAAAATAGAATATTTAATTCATAGAAATAAAAGGTAACCTGCCATGCTAAAGCTTACTCCACCCCATCTTATGAGGGTAACCTGACCTGCATGTGAATGTCAAGAGAAAAAACCCCCCCAAAAAAACAGAGAATTGAAATTAACTATTCTAACAGACTGTGTTTTGTGTATTTTTTTTATTTTCAAAGTACTATCAGTTTTTTATTTTTACATTAGACGTTAATACTCTTTAACACCAGATTAGAAGCATTCTTTCTTTAAATTTATTTATTTACTATTCCAATATAAGTAATTAATTAACAGAGCGGTTTTGAGTATTGCTATTCTACCAAAATTCTCAGTTGGCACTTTGATGGGGGATGGAATAAACATAAAACAGATCTAAATGATTAAATTTCTCTCCACACACGGGCAAGTAAATGTACAAAAGCAACTATTATACCACCTAAATATGACCTATATTTTATTTGTACTTTTTTTTGCCAACAGTATCCCTTTAAGCAGTCTTTGCTGCTGATGGAAATGCATGCTTACATTCCTTTACTCATCAGTACATTTTCCTACTTGCTCCTAGAGACATGAAGGGAGCTAAGCATTGTTAAAGGATAAGTTTACCGTTGGGAATGATACATGTTCTACCCATTTTTAGGGAGTAACATGTAACGTTTCCGATCCTGCAGCAGCCACTCGATAACCCCCCCCCCCCCCATCCTGTGATAGCAGTATGGGGAGAAGTTCCCAGTACTAGCTGTCACTTTTTAAAAAACAGTGTGGCCATGCGGGGCTCCACCCACATGGCCACATCATTCATATACAGTGTTCTGTGAATGAATGAACTACAAGTCCCAACAGCAGTCGTTGGCTTGTGTAGTTCTCAGTGAATTGTCACGGCGCTGTGTTAATTTATTGAGTATTCCTGTCAGAAGTATCAGCTTGCCTGTATGGGATGTAAGAGCAAGCAGATAATCTGACAGGTCTGCAGGAGACCTGCATGGCATCAGTGATCTGCTGATTGCTGGTGCAATGCTTTACAGGCTCCTACTACAAAAAACAATAAATTCACATTTTTTTTATCTGCAGGAGACCTGCATGGCATCAGTGATCTGCTGATCGCAGGTGCAATGCTTTACAGGCTCCTGCTACAAAAAACAATAAATTCGCATTTTTTTTATCTGCAGGAGACCTGCATGGCATCAGTGATCTGCTGATCGCTGGTGCAATGCTTTACAGGCTCCTGCTACAAAAAACAATAAATTCACATTTTTTTATCTGCAAAAAGTCAAACAAAAAAAAAAGTGCATTTATTATTTTTTGTAGAAAGGTGAACTTATCCTTTAAACTGCATCTAAACCCAAAGCTAGAAATATAATAAATTGCAGGTTACCAGTCCTTAGATAATGTGGCATAATTTATTTTCCTTTTATCAGGCTTTTTCCTCTATTTTTACTCAGTGATCTTGCAGATAACGCACTTATATCTGGGTGGCTACATTCACTCTTCCACCGTATATATGGAAGGAGTCATGGCTATTGCCCAGGCTGGACAACAAACGTCTCCCTTTGTTCATCTCCCATACATTAGGGTTTAAGTAATTAGTTAACAAAAACAAGACAAGACTGTTGTGAAGTCAGTTCAGTTCACAGCAAGTTACAACGACACTGCATTTCTGGAAAGATCAACGGGTATTTTCAGTACTTGGTGAAAATATTCTTAGCCTAAAAACTGAAAATACATGCAGCCAACAAGTAAGGACTGGTGAGCTGCAATATTTTAAATTCTTGTTCTTGGGTTTAGATCCCCTTGTAGGTCCTCAGGCCAACATCAATGCTGAAGAGCAGCTATTCAGAGTAAACAAGTAGAGAAAGAAACAAGCAAGCAAATTTGGAAATAAACAAATCTTACTTGTTGGTATGTGACAAATAGCCCCAGGCAGTTCATCATCACAACTCTTTGTTTTCCATGTGCCGTCAACATCTATAAAAACACAATCTTCATCCTCCTGCACATCCTCCGCCCACCGGTTCAGAGTAACTGTGCTCCCATCCTGCCATCTGTAGTGGAGTCCATCCTGAAATAACACGGCAGACAAAACAAAGGGAAAAAAGTTAGGATAAAATGTATGGGAGGATTTGTACCAATGACTAATAAAACATAGCAACAAAACCACAAAATAATCACTGTGTAACTTAAGGGGTTAATCCTCCTCATTGTGTAAAAAGGATGTTTGATCCTGTCTTCTCTGATCCCTTTTTCTTCTTCCTCCCCTTCTTCTAATGTCCAGAATCCATCTCCTGATAGAACAGAGTCTTGGGGGCAAGCTGCACATTCTCAGTTTGGTGTGTACTGCTAGAGTTTTTTTTTTTTCCCCTTAGGAAGTTGTATGTGATCAGAACAGGACCAATCAGCACTATCCAGACAGATGGTCAGGTGTCCTGAAGCCTCATAGGATAATCAAGGTAGAATGAAAACTCCTCCTACAAGTTTTAAACCAATGCCCTGCTGGACACTGATAAAAGTCACAAGACTGCTATATACTGCTGTAGAGAAAAGGTATTTAGCAGTTTATATTTACTAAAATAATTGCATTTCCATGTTGGAAACTGTGGGAAACCAGATATAGTGAATGCAGGGTCCTAAGTTTAGTAACACTTTAAGTAGTTTAGAGATTTTATTTCCCTTTAGGTCACTCTCCCAGGAATGGCAGCTAAAGGCTGGGGCTTCTTACTCAAGTAGGGACTGGGTGAGCAAGAAGGAAAAATGCCAAAAGCAGAACATGTGAAGTCCAGATTCAATTTCATTCAGAATCTTGTATCAAAAATCTACTAGGAATTTTTGAGCACTAAGGTGAAAATGGCAAAAGTCCAGCATGGGGATCATTTGGTAGAATCTTGCAACGTGCACTTAAACTGACTTGTCAGTTTAAACAACTAAAATTTGGCAACTAAAATGTTAAACCTGAACTCTGGTTAGATATAAAAAAGATATAATGCAGCTCTGTATTAATTAAAGTGGCTCTAAAGGCAGAAGATTTTGTACCATCATGCATTCCATGCATGAAGGCAAAAAAACCTTCTGCATGCAGCTCCTTGCCCAGCACCCCTAATACTTACCTGAGCCCGATCTTGATCCAGCAATGTGTATGAGAGCAGTGGCTCCCCCAGCTCTCCCCCTTATTGGCTCAGACACAGCAGCAGTAGTCACTGGCTCCCACTGCTGTCAATCACGTCAGTGAGAGAGGGGAGAGGGGGCAGGACCAAGCCACACTCTGTGTGTCTATGGACACGGAGTAGGGCTTGAGAGCAGGGGGGGTGGGGCCAAGCTGTGCTCTGTGTCTCTATGGACAAAGAGAGCGGGGCTCGGGAGCAAACACGCACGAATGCCCTCATAGCAAGCAGCTTGCTATGACGGCATTCAGGAGGGGGGTAAAAGCCAGGAATGCCAGCTGGGGACCGGGGCTGCTCTAAGCAAAACCATTGCACAGAGCAGGTAAGTATATCATGTTTGTTACGAACAAAAGGTAACAAAAAATAAAGAAATAAATACCAAAAGAAAGCTCTGTCTCAAAATAATACAATTTCATATGGCTACAGTGTTGCATGACCATGCAATTTTCATTCAAGGTGCAGCAGCACTGTAAGCTGAAAATGAGCCTGGGCAGGAAGGGACTGAAAGTGACCAGTGGTTAAATAAACATTCAAATAATACAAAATTTGCAACAGTAAACTAAAGTAAACCTGTTATAGAAGTATGGGGCTGCTATTACAGGATTCTGAAAATGGCAGCTGCCTGTACTATATTGATTCATTTGCTTCAATTTTTGTGCTGACCTATTGACTTCAATCACTTTGAAATCACTGAATTGAATAAAGTAAAAAGATTGCAGGTGTCAGAGAAACGTCAAAGGTCCCTATCCACATGCTTGTTCAACTCAAGCATCACAGAAGATATGGAAGTAAAAGGGCCAGTATAACAGCTAAATGCTAGCATTTTCAGAAAGAGAGGGCCCCAAACAGCAGCCTCCATGTTTCTTTCATGCCAGTTTTCTTTTAACAAGAATAATGCACTTACATCCCTGCTAGAGAGTCCAATCCAAAATGGCCGATCTGCCTGCTTAACCGTGACGATGAGAAAGGACAGCTGGTACTGATCTGTTACACTGACTAGTTCCATTTTTTTGCTTCTACATTCTTCTAAAGCCATGTACCAAGTCATGTTCTTCTGAAGGATTTTATATGTCTTCTCTTTGTAGCTCACATCTTCTGCAACAAATGATGGCACTTTGGTCCCATTATTATCTGGAATGTTTGAAGAAAATAAATGCTTAGTGGCTGTGGAAATGTCTCCATCTCCTTCCTATAACCAATCAGTTTCTCCTTGCTGCTAGGGCAGGACGGAACATGGTAAGGAGACATTGGTTAAAAGAAGGGAAACCAACGACTGGGACCTGATGATTGGCTGTGTACAATCTCAGCCCAGAGCTCTGTGTTTGTTTACCAACACAGAGCTCTGTACAGCGGGAACGATCTGTCAGTTTCTCATGCCGGCAAAACAGGGATTAGAAACAGAGATCTAATAGTAAAAGCAGCACACATAACACATAGGCACATATTTAACCTCTTGATCACCCTACATGTTAACCCCTTCCCAGCCAGTGTCATTATTACAGTGACTGTGTATAGTATTTTCACTGTATTAATGTCATTGGTGATGTCGAGGCAGTTTGTTCCCCCCAGCATCAGTTAGTGTCAGATTGTCCACCGTACTATTGCAATCCCATTATAAGTCACTGATCGCACCCATTAGTAGTACATAAAAAAAAAAAAAAAATTCCAGTGTGTGTGTATATATATATATATATATATATATATATATATATATATACACACACACACACACACACACACACACTATAGTTTGTAGGCGCTATAGCTTTCACGCAAACCAATCAATATACAATTATTAGGATTATTTTTTTTTTTTTTTATCAAAAACGTTGCAGAATACATTTTGGTCAAAATTTTATATTAAATTTTTGATTGGATATGTTTATAGCAGAAAGTGTTTTTTTTTTTTTAAATTTCAGCCTTTTTTCATTCATATCGCAAAAAATAAAAAAGCCCAGTGGTGATCAAATACTACCAAAAGAAAGCTCTATTTGTGTGAAAAAAAGCATATAAAGCTTGTTTGGGTACAGCATTGCATAACCGTGCAATTACCAGTTAAATTCACGCAATGCAGTACAGCAAAAAACATGGCCTGGTCATGAAGGGGGTAAAATGTTCCAGGGATGAAGAGGTTAAAGTAAGCAGAATAACCAGGGCTGCCTCCAGTGAAAGCCTTAAGAAAAATGCTAGTTGCCTGGCTGCAATACTTTGATCTACTAACTGTGAAAAACAGACCAGGAAAGTCAGGTGTCCTTATCAGCATACTTGTCCTGGTACAGTGGCTCTTAGTACTGAAGCCAGAGAATCAGTATTACAGACAGGCAATTAAACTTTCCTTAAAAGGAGAAGTTAGCGTTACAGCCTCCATGTTTCTCTTATGACAAGTTTCCTTTAAAGGAAAGCCAAAAGCAATATTCCTACCTCTGGTTCTCTGGCAGACTGTCACATACTGCAAGTCTGAGCAAGCTGTGAAATCCCATGTGCCAATAAATGATGACTTTGGATCATTCAGGAAAAACACACATTGCTGGTTTTTCTCCTCATTATGTGGCTGCATGTGAGTAAAAAAAATACAATTATGTATAGTAAAAGGAAAGCAGCCTTGATTAAAACCAATCCATCAATATAAAAACATTCTACATACATCAAACTCAAACCTCTTGAATCTCCCTTGCAGCAGCGGGTTGAAGTTTGTGTAAGAGACACCAGAGCCGTCAATCCAGCTGTTCTGGGCAGTGTTTAACGTGAGCCGTAGACCAATCCAAAACTTTTGATTCAAGTCCGAACTTAAATAGGTAATGAAATCTACAAAGAGAACAAAACAAGGTTACACTCGCAAGATTTCCTGCCAATTCTGGACATTCAAAATCAAAAACACAATAACAGAATCGAAAACATTTTTTTGTGTGCAAGCAGTATGGTGGCTTGGCAGTTGCCATTCTGACTTTGCAGTGCAGAGGTTCTGGGTTCAAGAACCATTAGGAACACAACCTGAATGGAGGAATATTATCCCTTTGTGTGGACTTTCCCTGGGTGCTCCAGTTATGCATATGCATTTTTTTTATCCTTTGTGTATCTACAGCTTACTTTTATTTCCCTGAACAATCTTGAGGTTTGAAAACTTGCTGTGTGAAGATCCGATCCCAACGCATTTACTTCCCTGAAGTCTGTTACATATATTCAGTATGCCCTGTTGATGTGTGCACTGCTGTGTCACAGAATTCACAAAGCCTACCTTCTGAACTACAGAGGTGCTAAGAGGAGCTTTAGGAGGTGGAATCAGTACAGGAATCAGGCACCACGAAACCAAGGAATATTTAGTCTTTAGAAATTTTAAGTAAACAACCAAGGAGAAGCTGCAAAGCACGCAGGGAATCCAGGAAGATGTGGAAACAGACAGCCAGCAGACAAGGAGCACTCATAACATGAAAGGAGATTCTTTAGACTGTTATTAAACCCACAACAGTAAAACATGCTGATTATATTCAATGTGGAACCTAAGGATTAACCCTAAAAGTGTTGTTAGACCATTTGCTGTAATAGCGATGGTCTCTGATGTTTGGTAAGCTGCTGATCTCTTCTGCACTTCACTGACACTGGGTGATTGTAAGAAGATCTTTCAGCACTGCACTTTTTCTCGAGGAGTCATCTACTTTTATTGGATTCATTTGGATAATCTTTTGTTTATATTTGGGTTTAAACATTTGTTGTATTAGCACTAAATGGTATGTTATATTCTTCAATTGAGACCTTAATTTTCACATTCAATGTTAATTCTTTAAGTATTTCTTTGTTACATGCAGTTATAGGATCTATAAGATAAGTTTTTTTTTTTATGGGGGGGTGGGTTTAGTGCTGTACATTGCACAGCTATACACTGTTGGTTATTTTGGGCATAGTATCACTGGGAAGGGGGGCATTACATTTAAGTGGTGAGGTTTTTTTTTATATTTAGATGCTCAGTATCAGCACAGATATTGGTGCAACCCCAATTAGAACTCCTGGCATGTTTTAACTCCTATCCAAGACTCTGTAGAGAGATCCCCTTATTCACTGTCACAGTAACAATGATTTCAGTGGACAGGAAGGAAAATTCTGGGACAGGGACACAGACAGCAATAACTGACAGGGGTCCTAGTACTTCTCCACTCTACTTGAATAAAAGCATACTGACACCACAAAGCTAACTCATTCCCTGGTCATCTCCCACCTCGACTACTGCAACTCCCTCCTTACTGGCTTACCTTTACATAGACTATCCCCCCTCCAGTCCATCATGAATGTTGCTGCCAGGCTCATCTACCTTGCCAACCATTCAGTGTATACTTACAATAACTTATAAAGCCATCCACAACTTAGCCCCCAGCTACATCACTAACCTTGTCTTAAAATACTGACCAAATTGTTTCTCTTCATTCCTCCCAAATATCTCCTGCTCTCTAGCTCCCTTGTCACCTCCTCCCATGCTCGCCTCCAGGACTTCTCCAGAGCCGCTCCCATCATCTGGAACTCCCTTCCCCAATGTGTCTGACTATCTCCTTCTCTGTCCACTTTTAGACGATCCCTAAAAACTCATCTCTTCAAAGAGGCCTATCCTGCTGTACATGTATTTTCCCCATCAGACCATCCCCCACAATTATTACCTTTTGAATCAATTGACTCTCCCTCTTTGATTGTAAGCTCTAAGAGCAGGGCCCTCCGATCCCTCCTGTATTATTTTGTATTGTAATTGTACTGTCTGCCCTTATGTTGTAAAGTGCTTGATTTTTAGTATTTTATAACTGGTAACTATAATTTATAATAAATTTGCTGTTGGACTTTAGAGTGGCCTCTCAGCATCAGGGAAAACCCTAAAATAATTTACACTTACTAAAATCAATTAATGGGTGGGGTGGGGTGGGGTGTGGCTGGGGTCGATGGCAAAATGCCTCTTACGGTGACGGTTAGTAGAAGAATGCAACCCTTGCAAAGGTGGTTAGAACGCCACCTTTCCAGACAGCTGAAAAGAAATTTGGTGTCATGCAGCTGGTTTTGTCAAGTGGTATCAGCCCCCTGCTCAAGGAACCTCTACCACCCTCGAGAGGAACCCGCGGTTTTCATGGAACTGTAGGTGGAATGGCTCCACTACAGTCACACTCTAAACCTACTGTTAAAATTTGTATATAGTTTTTTTTTAAACTAGAATATATAGATGATACAGAGAAACAGTCAAACTATGTGAATGAATTCAGAGCAATTAAGAGACAAAGCAGACAAGATGTGGTAAGAAATACATGTCTATTAATTGAAATTTCGTAGTCAGACCTAAAAAGGGACTGATGGGGGGGGGGGGGGGGTAGAAAAATCATAGCATCAAAAGATACTAGAAAGCAACTAACAAGTACAATTTACCCTGGTCACTTTGGCTTGAAATTGAAGGAAGCGTTCCCCCATGTGTTGAGCAGTATTCATTTGCAGCAGAGAATTTCAAATATTTTGGTTTGACTTTTAAAAAAACACTGTAAAAATGAAGAAAAGAATATGTGACCCACACATGTCATACTATCACAGTGCCACATATAAGAAGATTATATATACATTTTTCATATCAGCCACTTCTTGGCAGCAATCAAAACAGCTTACACTTTAAAGGTATTCTTCATTGCCATTATTATAGATCATTTATATAATGCCACAGTTTTTTTTTTAAATAAAAAGGAGACAATGCATTTACAATATAACTCAAGACATGAGTGTTAGGAGGGCTCATGCTCATGAAAGCTTACAATCTAAAGTGGAGCGGTGAGTGATACAAACAGTAGTAACTGCGCTGGGATGAGTAGTTCCAGAAATTAAATTCAGTTGTTGGCTAGAGGTGAGATGGACTTGCCTGAACAGATGGGTTTTCAGACAACCTGAAACTATGCAGACAAGAGTAAGACAGTAACACCAGTTGGGATAGAAAGTTCCAGAGGTTGTGTGAGAGGCTTTGGGGAAGTCCTTGACGCAAGCATGCAGAAGGCGACAAGTGAGTTATAGAGCAGGATATCTTGGGAGGAGAGAAGACCGTTTGGTTGATATTGAGATGAATTTAGTAATAAGAGTGGCAAAGTTTTGGACAATTATGTATGTTTTTATATTTTGAATGTTATTTGTTGGACAATCAAAAGCCAGTGGAGGGATTGGCAGAGTGTTGTGGTGGACAGTCTGGCAGAATCATTCATGATAGACCGAAGGGTGAGTTATAGCCTGTGTAAAAATAAGTTAATGTGGAGGAAGAAGCACTAGTCTAGCCAAGAGTGAATTGTAGATTGGTGGTGTTGTGGGTTAAGAAAAAATAATGCTATAACTCTAGCGTGTGCAGCGATCTGCAACAGGTGTAGTGTAATAATGTTTTTGTACACAGGAGCCCTCAATGTGTGCATTCACGTGTGCATGTACAAGGAAGTGGCCTCAAGATTTTGGGTCTTGTTTGTGTACCATTAATTTTTTTCAACTTTCACTTAAAAGCGGAGTTCCACTCAAAAATGGAAGCTTCGCTTGTTTGCATACCCCCCCCCCTTCCCCCCGCCTCTTGGGGGGGAGCGGGTACCTGATTTTTCTCCCACTTGCGACTCAGTTTGCTGCGGAGGCGAAGTGAGCCAGAAGTTCAGCCCCCCTCCTTCCTCCCGCAGTCTCCTGGGAACCTTCACAGGTCCCAGAAGACCGCCGGACCAATCAGAATGCGCAGAGCGACTTGCGCATGTGCAGTGGGCACCCGGCTGTGAAGCCTGGTGCCCACAATTGAGATGCCGAAGCCAAGCAAAGAAGAGGCAGAGAAGGGACGGCGCGGGTGAGCACATCACTGGACCCTGGGACAGGTGAGTGTGTGTTTATTAAAAGACAGCAGCTATAGTTTTTGTAGCTTCTGACGTAATAAACACAAAACTGACTGGAACTCCGCTTGAACTATATTGCTATCACTATCACACAGGGGACTAACAGCCCCATATTATTAGAGGTACTTACATAGCACAGTCAAATTACGCAGCGCTTTACATATATATTGTACATTCACATCCGTCCCTGACCCTCAAGGGGTGTACAACCTAAGGTCCCTAACTCACACTCATACATACACATACTAGGGCCAATTTAGAAAGGAGCCAATTAACCTACCAGCATGTCTTTGGAGTGTGGGAGGAAACCAGTATTAACTAGTATCAATGATACTAGTTGAACAATATTATAAATCTCTCCCTTTATTAGAAAGTGCTCAAATATACTCTGAAACCTTGCATTATAGCTTACAGATTTAATACGGGTGGCGTCGACTCCTGAAGAAGTGAAGATTCACGAAGCGCCCCCAGATTTTATGAAGTCCTCCGTTTATGTAATTTGAATATGTGGCAATATATGTATCGATTCATTCTATCAATATAATGTGTACCCTAGGCTGCTGTTTATGTCAGCTATAACTAACCAGCTTATTGTTTTAATCTGAGATCTTCATGTAATGTTCAATAAATTGTACGCGTAAGGGATGGAGGCATAGCATTTAGGCATCAGATCACAACCTATTTATCTATT